TGTTCGTTTTATTCCCTTTTTTCTTTTTTTTTTCTTTTCTTATAGTAAATACCCTGTATATAAATGATTGCAAATGGAATGCGAAAATTGAATAAAATATTTTATAAAAAAAAAAAAAAAAAAAAAAAAGTACAAAAGCAGAGCAATCAAATTGATGAGGCAATAGATGTAGCTGTTATGCAAGAATGGACTGCAGTGTCTGAGGCTTTTAGTTTGGAACAAGAGAAAGTATTTAAAATTCATTCGCATGAAATGAAAAACATAAATAAGGATAGTTTTTCCCTGTCATAAATTAAAACTTAAGTAACCATTAAATTAAATGTGAGATTAAGGATTATGTAAAAAGATAATAAAACTGAATTTGCTGCATGGAAATGTGGAGATGGGCAACAATTTGAATGGTTTTCAAAGGGGACTACACAAATGGATGGAGTGTTGGGCTATCAATGGCTACTAGGTTTGATGGCTACTTACATAATCATAAATGACATGTCTTAGAATTACTAGATTAACAATGAAGAAGGACTATTGCCGCCTTTCCTGTTTTGGAGTATCCAGAAGACATAGTTATTCTTTGAATAGCACAGAATGCTTGAGTAGATGGATAATCAGCCTGATTCATCTCTTATATATGACATACAACTCTTACTAATACTACTACAACAGAAGTGAATATGGCTGCTATGGGTCTAATAAAGCCTGTAATATCTGATTGACAAGAATGGCTTTTATCCTCTTTTCACTGTTAACATCCAGTTAAGTATTTTTTTAAATAGTCAATGGACTTACATTCCACATCCAGAGGTGCAGTTGTATATCAGCGCTATTAACAGGAGGGCTTGGAAGAGATCAATTCTTATGCGAACAGAAGCAGGATTTGTGGGAAAGGCAATAATAATAATAATAATAATAATAATAATAATAATAATAATAATAATAATAATAATATGAGAGTTTATCTTCTAATTTTTCTAGTTGCCTGCAGAGGTTCTGCATTCCAGTCTGCAAAAATAATTCCATGTCCCTTTCAGATTTCTAAACTCAATAATTGTATTAAGAGTTGATACTAATGACAGAAGCAAAGATGTTCTTGAAGGGATATCTACACAGGAAGCTTCCCATTGTATTTTTTTTATCAAGGATCTTGTTATCAATCCTGCTTCTAACAGGATATTTTATATTAGTACCATGCAAAATACTGGCCAAGCATTTTTAAATAGCAAATGATCTCCTTTTTTTGGTAAATCGATCTCATGGTCAAAATAAAATCCCCTTCTAGTCTCTTTTGTACTGATACTGTATAAGTAACAAAGAGACATCTTAGATATTTTTGAATGTATTTAAACTCATTTAATTATCTGGGTTAAGATAAAACTAGATTGAAAAGCTAAATCAAGAATGTCAATAACCATGAAGAAACCCTGATTTATCAACAGCCAGGAACATTTTTTACTGTAAATATTTCCTTTATTTGTTTTTTTAAAATGAGCTCCTGTAATACACATCTCATTTTTCAGATTTACAGTATTTTATTTTTTAAAAATAGAAAGTTTCAACTTTCTCAAAACCATTTATGAGCTGGCAGTAGTCTACCTTCATATTTTAAGTCATCTTTATATTTTTTTGCTACAAATTTATTTTGGCATTAAAATCAATTCTTTTATGGCTACCAAGAAAAAGTCATTTAGCTGTACAACAGTCATTTGTATCAATGTTTACTAATCACAAAATAAAACATAATACCACTAATGTAAACAGCATTTAGGCTTAAAAGTTTTAATACACAAATATTTAACTGAATAAACAAGCAGATTATGGCAGTGAATTATGGCAACAATTCAATGTGAAAAATAGCAGGTTGAATGTAGCTTTCTTCAGCCAATGGGAACAGAGCCTAACAAAGTGCTGCTGAGATCATCCCTGCTTGGGGGAAAAGGTGAAGGAAAAGCAATCTAGGTTGATTCCCCATCCAACAACAGTTGCCAACACTACTGGTCACGGAGCTCCATTCTTCTGTCCCTAACCCTCCTGAACATATTCTTGGTGACATATGGGAGAGGAGGAATTAGTGAGGATCACTTTATCTACTCTGGAACAAAGGGATTTTTCTCCTTGATCCAACCAATAACTTATCGCTGAAAAACTGTATAGCATTTTAATGTAATCTTCAAAACCAAAATGCCACATTACAATCACAAAAAAATGGCAAGTTATTAAGTAACAATGTACATACATATATAGGAAAGCAACCTTCTGATATTTAATAAACAACATTAACAGAAATTTTATTCACGCAAAACAAGGGATACGAAAGAAAGGTAATTTTTCAACACTACAAAAAATTGTAGCGTAGAAATGTAAACTTCATAAAAGCTTTCCCGTTTCTTCATTGGCATATTGTCTTTGGTGTTCCAGTATCTGTTTGAAAACATTCTTTAAAATGCTGTAAACCTCTGATCCACTTTCAGAATCATAGTTCATCTGCTGAAAACAAACATAAAGTTATCTTACAAAAGATAAGAAACATCAGGGTTTTATGCAGAGGTTTGTCCTCTGAGCTTGCTGGCTGCTTGACTCCTGGAAGTTTCATTACCAAACTAGGTAACATCTTCAGCGGGTTTGGGGTGAAGTGTCTTGTTTGCTTATATAGGTCTTGTGTTTATAGACTGTGATTCAATCAGTCTTGTGACTCAATCAGTCTTCTTGTCCTGAACCCAGGACAAGACACTTTATCCAAAACCCCACTAAAGATGTTACCTAGTTTGGTAATGAAACATCCAGGAGCCAACACCAAGCTCAGAGGACAAACCTCTGCCTAAATCTGCAATCTCAGCTACAAATATTTCTGAATTAATTATTCAAAGTTCTAGTAAGTTACTGTTTTCTTTCAGCTATTCTACGCTTTATCGAAGCAAATGTTAATGAGACATATACTGCGCTTTATTTATTTTTTTCTTACAACTAAGCAGGAGCAATTGGTTTCTGTACACAAGGGAAAATGTGTTAGTTCTACAATTTTGTATATTTTTAATAAATCTATTCTGACTCTTGTCATATGTGAAAAAAATAATGAAAAAAAATCTGTGTTATATCAAAATAAAAAGTAATGATGACTGAAGTGCACATATGAATTTGCTTCCAGCGCTATTCTTTCCTTAGATTCCATTTGTAGAAAGACAATCTGGATGTGATAGAGTGAGATAATATAAATTCTTTCAGCTCAATGAAACTTTGGACTCTATACAAACAACTTATAGCCACTGTTAATAATTTTCCCCAGAAGTGAAACATACTGCTGAGAAAGATGAAACTTTTCATTGTATTATTTATTTATTTGAATGTCGCCTTTATTATAATAACTGGTGTACTAACAGTAGAGTTGCTTATACTCACTGTTCTGCAGATGTGAAATTCTTAACTGTCATTTGTCGGCCATTTTACCTACCTAGAGAGATTTCTGTTTTGTTATCACTGCTTTCTGTATTCCACTGATGCAAATATTAGCGCAGCGCTCTCTAAATTACATGACGCCATCGAGAGGCAGCAGCAAACTTACCCTGAGGGCGCTTTTTATCGTGGCTGGGGATTTTAATGAAGCAAGTCTAAAGTCTGTTCTCCCTAAGTTTGCATAGTATGTGCAGTGTACCACCAGAGGTAAGAATACTCTAGACTATATGTATTCAAACTTAAGACAGGCATATAGAGCAACCCCCCTCTGCCATCTGGGTACGTCTGACCACATTTCTCTGCTACTGTGCCCAAAGTATATCCCCCTTAGGAAAAGGATACAGCCAGTCTTGAAAACTGTCAAAATCTAGCCGGAGGTAGCACTTTACCAGTTGCAGGACTGCTTTGAGACTACTGAGTGGAGTATATTTGAACATTTGGAGCTGCAAGAATTCACTGACACTGTACTATCATCATACATGAAAACATGCACAGACAATGTAACAACGAATAAACACATCAGAGTTTACAGTAATCGTAAACCCTGGATGTCAGCAGAGGTACAATCACTTCTGAGAGCCCGAAACTCCACCTTCAAGGCAGGAAACGAAGACAAATACAATGTCAGGCCAAACTTGAGAAGAGGCATTAAGGCGGCTAAACAGAAATACAAACAAAAGGTAGAGACATATCTGGAAGATAATAATTTAAGACAGGTGTGGCAGGGGCTACAACACTTAACCAACTATAAGGGCAATATGAAAAAAATAGCAAAGGCTAATGCCCTGCTAGTACAGGAGCTAAATAGCTTCTTCACCCACTTTGAGGTCAAAAGATCAGTCTCTGTGGCTCTA